TTAAACCCAATAAATCTCCTGGATTGGATGGAATTCCCAATACCGTATTGAAGAAGGCAATACTAAAACAAGCTGCTATATTCAGGGATGTATTCAACAGCTGCCTACAGGAAGATATTTTTCCTTCGTGTTGGAAAAAGCAAAGATTGGTGTTTATTCCTAAAGGTAATAAGCCCTCAGAACTACCATCGTCTTACAGACCTTTATGTCTACTGGACACTGCAGGTAAGGTCCTGGAAAGAATTATAAGTTCTAGATTAGAAAAATTCACGGAGGCAAGGCAGGGTCTGTCAAATAACCAATTTGACTTTAGCCCTAAACGTTGTACTGTTGATGCTATATTACATGTATGCAACATTGCAAAGGAAGCTACTAAGGGCTTAAGGTAGCTAGGTGGTACCAAAAAATACTGCGCGGTGGTGACCTTAGATGTTAAAAATTCTTTCAACGCTGCTGAGTGGAGTAGCATCTTAAATGCACTGTTGAAAATAAAAGTCCCAGAATATCTTTTAAAAATAATTACATCACAGACTCCGGACCCAAAACATATAAGATTACGGGAGGGGTTCGCCAGGGATCAGTTCTAGGGCCAATTCTTTGGAATATCATGTACGATGGTATCCTTCGAATTGAAAAGCCGGATGGAGTAAACGTAATTGAGTATGCAGATGATATTGCAATAGTAGTGGTCGCAAAAACTCTAGATGAAGTGGCTAGGAATTGCAACGCTACTATTGCAGTAGCTAAATCGTGGTTGCAAAACAGCGGATTAGAGCTCGCTGAGCATAAAACTGAGGCGCTGCTAATCAGCAGTAGGAAAAGGATTGAACAACTCTCAATTAAAGTGGGTGGAGTAGATATACAATCTAGCCCCCAACTTACGTATCTTGGTGTTACCCTTGATAGTAGGTTGCATTTCAAAACTCACCTAAAGCAATCGGGAGACAAAGCCTCACGTGTTTGCAGCACATTGGCCCGGTTAATGCCAAACATAGGAGGCCCCAAGGACATAGCTAGAGTTGTTTTAGCATCCGTTTCCAAGTCGGTGATGCTATATGCTGCTTCTGTGTGGGTGCATGCTACAACCATAAAGTCGTTTTCACGCATAATGAAAAGCGCACATAGATTGGCAAACCTACGCATCTGCCATGCTTACTGTACAGTATCGGATGATGCTGCGGGAGTATTGGCGGGACGTGTGCCAATAGACCTTGAACCGCTCTTGGCCAGAGACAGCTTCTTCATGCGTTCTCGTCTACGAATGAATGAAACTCAGCAATCTCTGTCACATACTTATCTAGAAATAAGAGACAAATATCTTAATGAATGGCAACATAGGTGGGACCATTCCCAAAAATCAAGATGGATGCATTCCTTAATGCCAAATATAAAAGTTTGGATTTACCGAGGATCTGGAGTACTGGGATTTCAATTAACGCAGTTTCTTACGGGGCATGGCTGCTTCCGTGAATACTTATACCGGTTCAGGCTTGCAAGTAATCCATACTGCTAGTTTTGTCCAGATAAAATTGAGAGCCCCGACCATATAATTAGAGACTGTATAAAATTCGCTGATAGACAAAATCTGGAGACTATAATTGGGGAAGCCAGCCCTCCTACTGTAGTAATACAGATGTTGGCAAGCATTGAAGAATGGAGCTTCTAGAAGAGCATAATATCTAGAACAATAAACACTGTTAGAGCGGACGAAATACTTAGTACACAATCGGAGTGAAAGCACGCTAAGTGCTCTTCTAACCTGCCCTGTGAAGGAATACCTTAATTGGTCGTACTGCAGGAATTTACAGGAGTTTCAGCTGAGAATGTAGGGGACTTTTTAGTCCGTAGGCATGCATGACTCAATTGGGTTATGCATGAATCGGGCATGCAAATGGTACGAGCTATTTGTATCTTTGGAAGATTTTTCCCCCAGGTACGATACCAAAAAAAAAAAAGTATGAAAAAGTAAAAAAGTATGAACAGCACACTTGTGTGCACAGAGAATTTTTTGTCGCTCAGTGCGGTGCGAGCATAAAATTTTCTCGCACATCTGAATGTGCGAATTTTTAAAAGTCAGTCACACAGCATTAATGTTTGCTTGGTATTTACGCCTACGTACTAAACCTCATCCTAACACCGTGTCTCTTCTAACCATAAATCCCCCCGGAACCACATTTAAGCATTACTTCGTAGGGTGGTGATTCAGCGAGTGCTGTCATCTCTTACTGCTCTTCTAGTTCTCTCTGCTGCTCTCTGTCCTTCTACGATTTCTTTCGCAAATATACACACTAAGTTCCAGATTTCTGTTGATCTCAACATCAGTAGGATTATGTTATCAGGTGTGACCTGTTCTCTGATTGCTCTTGCCAAGGAGCTGCGATGGTTCTCATATCTCGGGCAATCAAAGAACACATGTTCCACCGTTTCTTTTGTATATGGACATGCTGGGCACGTGTCGTCTTCGTCATGTTTGAACGTAAAAAGATATGCTCTGAAGCAGCCGTGTCCAGTTAACACCTGGGTAAGATAGTAGTTCACCTGTCCATGCTTTCTGTTGGTCCAATCACTTATCTTCGGAATGAGCTTATGCGTCCATCTTCCTTTTGTGGATATATCCCAACTCCGTTGCCACTTATTCAATGCTTCTTCATTGAGCTGATTGTAATTTGTAAGCCCAGTTCTTTTTGCCGCATGCTTTTCCTTTTCAATTTCTGCTTCCTGCTGTAGTGGCATCATTCCGGCAATAACCATGGCCGCGTCAGTAGATACTGTACGGAATGAGGAAACAACTCTGAGAGCGCATCTTCTGTAGGCTGCGTCTACTCCTGATCTGTACGTCTTTTTATTCATTGCATCTGCCCATATGGGAGCTGCATATATAGCAATAGACTTACCTACATTTGTCAAAAACTGCTTCTTCTGTTGTCTAGGTCCACCTATATTGGGCATTATTTGCGATAGCGCACATGTTGTATTAGCACATTTCGTAGCAACATATCGTAGATGCTCTTTGAATGTGAGTCTATTGTCAATCATTACTCCAAGATACTTGATTGCTTGTTTTGATGTGACTCGCTCATTGCCAACAGTTATTGTAATGTACTCAATCTTTTTCCTGCTGCTTACAAGAAGGACTTCAGTTTTATGATCAGCAAGTTTGAGGCCTACACTTGCGATCCAGCTCCTTACCATAGTGACCGCATCGTTGCATGTTGATTGTATCTTTTCTATATGTTTCCCTTTAACCACCAGCGCGATGTCATCAGCAAATCCAATTATTTCTGCGCCTTCTGGGAGCTCAAGTCTCAACACTCCGTCATACAAAATGTTCCACAATATTGGACCCAGTACCGAGCCCTGTGGTACCCCTGCTGTTACTTGGTATGACTTTGTGCCTCTGTCTGTGTAATACAAAAGCACTCTCCCTTTAAAATAGTCAACGATTAATTCCACTAGGTACTTTGGAACGTCTTTCCCTTGAAATGCTGCTAAAGCAGTGTATCAGTCCGCTGAGTTAAATGCGTTTTTAACGTCTAATGTAATGATAACACAGTATTCTTTGTCTCCTTCGAGCCAACGGTCTCCTTTAATGGCATCTTTTGCTATGGCTATGACTGCCTCCACGTCCTCTATTGTGGAGCGTGCCTTCCGAAAACCAAATTGTCTATCTGATAAACCATTGCCATTCAAGGCTTCTTCTAGTCTTCGGCTAATTATCTTTTACAAAAGTTTACCGGCCGTATCAATCATACATAGCGGGCGGTAGCCTGATGCATCTTGTACGTTATTGCCCTTTGGTATAAGCACCAACCTTTGTATTTTCCATATCTGGGGGAATGTTCTCTCCTTTATACATGCGTTGAACACTTCCCTGAATGAATCAGCGTTGGTTTCTGTGGCCATCTTTAGTGCCAGGTTTGGTATTCCATCTACTCCAGGTGCTTTGGTTAGTTTCAAACCTTTGCATACCACTTCCAATTCTTGCCTGCTAACCTCAGGTATTTCATTCTGTGGCTCACTATCTTGTACTGTATAGGTTATATCAGCTCTCTGCGGGAAGAGACCTTCAACTATTGCTTGTAGCTTAGCTGCGTCTGTTGTAACTGATGGACGGTAGCTATATAATTTTTTCATAACCACTTTATATCCTAGTCCCCAGGGGTTATTCTCGACCTCCTCACACATTTCCTTGAAGCATCTTGCCTTGCTATTCGATATCGCCTTTTTTAGATCAGTTCTCGATGTTTTATAGGCTTCTTGGTGCGCTATAAAATTTTCACGACCCCTTGCTCTTTGACATAGGCGTCGCGCATGTTTGCATTTTCTTCTCAGTTCGGAAATTTGGTCAGTCCACCAATACACATGTTGTCTGCCATTCCGCCGGCCTTTCTTTGCCATAGATGCGTTACATGAATTTGTTATGCAGCGCATCAGTTGTATTGCTTTATCATTTGCACTGCCAGTTAGGTGGATGTCGTCCATTGAGAGCTTAAAAGCTTCTTTGTCCAAAAGTTAACTCCTTCCATAGCAGATTTGGAGTAGCTACCGCAGGAATGGTTCTTGCTGCGCGGTCATGTATTTCGAATATGATAGCTTGGTGGTCACTATGTGTGTAGATATCTGACACTTGCCACTCAGTTAAATTAGCTAGTGGATCGCTGATAAATGTCAAATCAATCTTAGAGCTTCTACCGTTCCTTGTGAATGTATCCTTTTGGCCGCAGTTCAATAATACTACATCCAGGGTGGCCAATGCTTCTAGTAGGCACTCTCCCCTGGGGTTTGTCAATGTTGAGCCCCATTCAATGGCCCAGGCATTGAAGTCACCGGCAATCACTATCGGCTTCATATTTTTAGCGTCGCTAACAATATTGCCCAGTCTTTGTTTGTATTCTTCGATTGATAGACTGGGGGGTAAATAACAGCTGAAAAACGTTATTCCATTCACTGTACTTTTTACGTATGCTTCCCCTCCGTCGTAGACCTTCTCTAGTGGAAATTTACCACACGTCCATATCGATGCCTTGTTGCACTTGCTGGTAGCCCAGCAGTGATTGTCTAGTGTACTATAATGGACATTTAGATCCTCCCGTAATATGGTTAGCGTCAATATTTGTGTCAGTTCTACAAAGTAGGCAGTGAGGGGCACCTTGACACGCTTTAGCAAGGTGATCCTCTCCACCACACTTGTAGCAGTGTTTAGACCAGTCTTTGGAGCTCTGACAGTTCCTTGCCACATGTCCAAAATCGAAGCATTTGTATATCTCCTGGGGGTAACTTTTTGGAGTAATCGGCACACGGTCCATCCAACTCGTGGTTTGCCCACCTCCTCAGCTTTACCGGCCTGCTTCTTTGGTATTACAATTATAGCCGTTCTGGTACCTCCAGGGGCATTTCTTATTGTTTTGATCGCCGAGTGATGTATTTCGCCTATTTGGTTTTTCCATGCATCAATTATTTCTTCTTCTGTGGTTATTTCGTCCAGGTATCGTAGTTCAAAGGTAGCTTCTTCCGTTAGCGTTTTGACCTCTATTTCCTCAGGTAGTATACTTTTGATGTGGTCTTGGTGGACACTTGTTATTGTTTCTGCTGATCTTTTGAATTCAAGCAGAAGTTCCCCTTTTTGTGTTTTCCTGATAGAGTGAACATCATTACCGACTGCTTTAAGCTCTGGAGCTCCTTTTACTTTCCGGAGTATGTCCGCAAAGGAAAGTTTCTCAGACGGTTTATTGATCACTACATTCGGTCGAGGTGGTTTCACGCATTTTTTTGTTTGTGAAACCCAAGCGTGTCGTTTGTTGTTGTCTTCAATTGGTGCTTGAGGTACATCAGCGTTGCCGATCGTCCCGGCCACCGTATCTAAGTTACTTTCCAATGCTTTCCTTGGCTCCTTAGACTTAGTATTATTTGCCCCCACAGGTCGATTTGTTTTCGTCTTCTTAGGCGATGTCTTCCTACTTTTTTCGATTTCTTCTCTTAACCGTTTGGATATAACAGGTATTTGCTGCGGCTGAATTGTTTGGGTACCTCTATCGTTGGTTTTAGCGGTGATAGTTTTATTTGGTGTCTCTTCGGCAGTTCTTTTATAGAGCGATGATATCATTGCAACAAGATCACGCATTGCTTGGTGGATGGACCTTCTTCCTCCACCCATCATCTCATTTAGCTCGGATATTTTGTCCCCGAGTTTAACGAACGCTTCCCTTTTCACTTTTGGAACACTGTTCCCATTAAGCTCCGGAGGGGATGAGCGAGCTCTCTCGTTATTTTGCCTCTCTTGTGATAGCACAGGTGAGTGTGTTAGTCTCGGCGCCCTCATGAAGGGGTTTTGGCTGGGACTGACTATCCGTGACTCCTTTGCACTTTCGGTGCGGGCTGGAGTATTAACGCCAGAGTGTATTGGTGTTTTTGTAGTTGTGAACATTTTTCTTTGCAATTGGGTCCCAACTTAATGCCGTTATCTTAGTTTCATTGTGTAGTTACCCTTATTGTGGTTCCATGATTATCTTTGCAATGCAGGGAGGTCATGCAAGGGTTGACACATAGCCTTATGAGCGCATGTGTTCAGAGCCAAACCGGGAGCTAAGCAGAAGATATTCTTAACTGCCCCTACACCCCAACTTAACAGGACGAATCCAAGATCGTTCTTTAAGGCTTGCCAGGTTTTAACGGGACGGAGGCAGATGAAGCATTAGCCTGAAAGCCGTCTGGACCAGATTTCACTCTAGCCCATATTGGTAACAGAATACATCATCTACCAGCCCAAGTCATCATATCCAATCGTTTGCTCCAGTATACCATAATCAGAATCTTACTGATATCGATCCTGATGCCTTTTCTTATAGGCTTTCTCCATTATCATGTCATCATGTCCAATCGTTTGCTGTTGTCCAGTATACCGTAATCACAATCTTACTGGTATCGATCCTGATGCCTTTTCTTATAGGCTTCCTCCATTATCATCTCTCGTATGTGAAATGTGATGCGACAGTCGTCCCTAACATGATATACAGACGGTGTGCATTTCCGACTCCCTCGTTGGCGCATCAATTGCTCTCACATTGGAAGCAGACATTGTGCGCTTACACGTCTCTCGATGCCATCCCGGGATGGTGGACGCTTAGTTAGAGCCGGCGTCTACTCGGCTCAGCTTAGGGGCTTCTCAGGGTTTCTGTGACCTTTGAAGCCACACCCTCCGACGCCTAGCTGGATTTTAGTCGCCTCTTACGACAGGCA